GCGCCTGCGAGCGTTCAGCTCCCGCGCTGAAATGTGCGGGAAGGAGGCGGAGAAGCTAGCGGGCGAGCTACGCCTCGCTCGTTCCTTGCACTCTAAACAAGTTTTATCATGTGGAACTCTGCGACGACATGGCGCAGGCAGCGCTGCGGGTTTAGCTCGCGCTTGAAAAACGCGGCAGTCTTCTGTCTCCTCCCGCCACTTTCATCGTCGTCCTATTCCCCGCCTCACCTTCTCCATGCATGCTGCTGCTTCCGCGATGGCCTTTCGCCCCCCCCGCCCTCCATTCCATCCCTCTCCTACCCCTCGTTCCCGTACCCGTTCTTCTTCGATCCTGGGGCCTCAAGCCTCGTTCTTTCGATCGTCGTCCTGTGAATCGTGCAGCGCATGCGCATCCCATGTAGCTTGCACAGCAAATCGCCGCGTCTACACTGTCGTTGTTCCTGCTAATGTTGGCATACTCCTCTTGCCATTAGATGCGCGTGGGTTGGGTACGGCGCAGGGTAATTTTCTGTTCCGCGTGCCCAGCGCATGGCCGTTGCCGACCCGGCGCGGAGCGGCTGGCCCCCCGGCCGATCGGCGCCCGGCAGTCGTCTGCAGCGAGCGCGCCGTGGGGCGTCGGCCTTTGGCGCGGAAGTTGGGGGCGCCATGTGGCGGGTGTGCGCGTGCGGCGATTGGCGAGGGGGCGCGTCTGGGGCACGCCGCGTGTCGTCGTCTCGCGTCGTTGCCCGCGGGCGCGGCGCCGCGGGCGTCTGCTCCCCCCGCGCGATTGCGATTCGCGCTGGGCGGAGCTGTCCGCTGCTGGGGCGAAGTTCGCGGGCAGCTGTGGTTCGCGCGACCCGCGTCGAGGCCGCGCGCGCGACCCTTTCACGAGCGGCAAGTTATTTAATCGCTTCGCTCATTCCGCCGGCCCATGCAGTCTCATGTCTGCCGTTTGCCCGAGGGCCTGGTGTCAATGCGGCGCTTTGGGGGTTCTTGGGGCCGCTTGGGGGACTCCTGGGGCGCTCGGGGGGGCATTTGGGGGGCCTCCTGGGGCCGCTTGGGGGACTCTTGCGGGTCTCCTGAGGGCCTCGTGGGGGCCTCTTGGGGCCTCTTAGGGGCTTCTTGGGGCCTCGCAGGGGCTTCTTAGGGCCGAGGGCTCGAAATGTTGTTTCGTGTTCCCTCTCTGGGGCCCCTTTGGGGGCGTTCTTGGGGCCCTCTTGGACCGTCTTGGAGGCTTCTTGGGCCGTCTTCGAGCCCTCTTGGGCCACCTTGGGGCCCTCTTGGGGGCCTCTTGGGCCCTCCTGGGGCGATCTTGGGGGCCTCTTGGGCCGTCTTGGGGCGTCGGGAAGCCGAAAAGGTGGAAGCTCCAAAATCTTTCAAAAACCTAAGGAAAGGCAATGAATTTTGCCTCCGGGGGCCCTCTTGGGAGTGCTCTTGGAGGCCTCTTGGGGCGTCTGGGGGCTATCTCGGGCGTCTTGGAGCGATCTTGTGGCATGTCGGACCCCTCGTGTACCATCTTGGGGGCCTCCTGGGGGCCTCTTGGCCTTTCTTGGGGCTCTCGGGGACGTCTCGGAGCCCTGTTGGTTCGCTCATGGAGCGCTCTGGTGGCTTCGCCCGGGGATCAGCCGGGAGTCGCCCAGGGTAACTTTCGTCCGGGGACCCCCAGGGGCCGCCCCGCGCGCGCGAACTAGCGACTTGTTAACCAGTTACCGGAGATCTTAGCACGCCTTTGGCCCGTTGGGCCGGCGAATTTGAGGAGGTAGCAGCGCTGGGCGAATGCCTCCGTCCCGCGGTCGCATTCAAGCTTCTCCCTGCGGCCGGGTCAGGTTCGCAAGTTGCGCGTTGCTTTCTTTTCTGCCTTGGGTGGGGCGGCGCGCCCGCGGCGCGCGGCCGCGCCTGGCTTTCGCCTTCGCTGGGCCTGGTGCGTTCGCCAAGCGCGGCGCGCGCGCCAGTCGTTCGCGGCGCGGCGCGAGGCGGCGGGCGCGGCGTGCCGCGCGTGGCACGCCTATCGTCGGGGTGCCCGCGTTCGAGAAAGTGTCAGCACTGCTCGACGGCTCTCTCTCTTTCCCCCTCCTTCTGTTGTCAACGGGGCCTCGTGGGCTGGCATCGACGAGGTGCGAGTGGCGCGAAGCCGCGAGGTGAGGTGGCGCGCGACCCCGGCGACGCGCGACCCGTGCGCGCGCCGTGATGGCCGCGGCGGACACCCTGAGCAACCTGAGGTTCGCCGACGACGTGCTCCTGCTGTCTTCCAATAAGAGAGACGTGGGCCGAATGATCGTGGACCTGGATACCGAAGCGAAACAGTACGGCCTGAAAATGCACATGGGCAAAACCGTGGTGGTAACCAACTCAGCAACGAGGCCGGCAACTATCCGGTGCAGTGGAAACGACGTGCGAGTGCTGCAGCCAGGAGAGACGGAGAAATACCTCGGCCGCAAGTTCACCTTGGACGATTACCACGGGGAGGAGCTGAACAACCGCATCTCGTCTGCATGGGCATCTTTTTGTTGCCAGAAGAGTATACTATGCAATCGTCACGTACCCCTTCGTGATCGCATGAGGCTCTTTCACGCCACTGTTACGCCTTGCGCAATGTACGGCTGTGCTGCCTGGACTTTGACAGTCGAGCAGGAGAGGCGCCTTCGCGCAACGCAGAGGAAGATGCTACGACACATGGTTGGTGTGGGGCGCCAGCCAGACGAGCAATGGGTGGAATACATACGCAGGGCAACGGGCGCGTGTGAGTCACTCGCACGGAGACACGGGGTCCAAGACTGGGCAGACATCCTGTGGAAAAGCAAGTGGTCGGCTGCCGTCAAACTTTCTGCAGCGCAAGATGAACGATGGGGCGCACGTCTGATGAAGTGGGTGCCGTGGTTTCGAGTGCACGCGCGACGAAGCGTAGGAGGCCAGCGCAAACGCTGGTGCGATTGATGCAGTCGCCCTCTCCTCGTTCGTTCGTGTCGTCGTCGTCCTCCCTTCCCTCCTCCTCTTCCTCCCTGCCGGGCTCCTTGAGGAGAACACAGGTTGGCGTGGGTATGCCCGTGGGTATTGCCCTTCCCTCCTTGGAGGGTCTGGCCGTACCCCGTGGCACGCCCAGGCTGGTTTGTGTTGTCTTGCCCGCCTGTAATGTTCCTATATGTTTCACACCACACTGATCGATTTGTTTCACACCACGCTGATCCATTTTCCGGCCCGGCGCAATGCCGGGGAGGAGGACCCGCGCCGCCTCCCTACGGGCCGCTGCTCTGCTCTGCTGCTCTGATGGCCGCGGCGGCAACGCGCGCGTCGCGTCTGTCTGCGCTCCTCGCAGCCGCAGACTGCGGGGAGGGATTGCGTGCCAGCCGCCCGCCGCGGTCAGCTCCGCGTTCGTCGCGCGCGTCACCCCGGCCAGGTTTGCGTGCGCTCCGCCCTCCGCGCCGCCGGGCTGGGCAGGAACATTGCTGCCGGGTGCCCGCCGAGGCGAGGTGAGGCGCGCCGCGTGCGTCGGGTGCCCGCGGGGCGCCGTCGCGCTTGTGGGCCCCGCCCGCCCAGTCACTCCCGCGCGCGTCCGCGGGTGACGCTTCGCGCCTCTCGGGGGCGCTGCGCCGGCTTGGCGCAGCACCTGCGCCCGGTCGATCGCGGCGTGGCGCGAGGCGGCGGGCGCGGCGCGCCGCGTGCGGCGCGCCCAACGTCGGGGCGCCCGCAGTGGAGAGCACGTCTTCGCGGCACGACGGCTCTCTTCGTTTTCCCGCTCAGATGTCGGCAGCGAGGCCTCGTGCTGTCCGCCATTTGCGGCCAGACAGGTGGAGGGGGCGGAGGAGGGCGAAAGAGATTCGCCCGCCCTCTTCCGTCGCGTCCATTTTTCCTTCGCCCTCGCCCCCCCTTCGTCCTCCCTTCAAGCGTGCGTCGCCATCATGATCCTCGCCGTCATTATCACCGCCGCGGTCATCATCAGAGTTGGCGTAGCCCGCCCGCCAATCGGCCGCCGATGTGGACAGAGAGCGACGCTTGCTTGAACCGTGCTAACTCCTCAACGCCGACAGGGTTGCATCCCAAAGGGCCGCGCCCGAGTACAAGGATGCCATGTTTGACGTCGTCGCAAAACCGCCAGCGGCCACGCGTGCAGGCGGGATATAGCGATCCGCAGCTCACATGCGGTGCAGCATGTACGTGCGCATGAGCATGGGGAGGTTGCTGCGCGCACCTGCCTGTGGGGCAAGGCCGCGAAGTACGGCCAGGAGGATGCCGCGCTCAGCTTCGAGACGCACGGGCGCGCGCGCGCAATCCGCCGCGTTCCTGGTTATGCAGGTCGCGGAGCTCGTCGCCATCAAAAGCGCGCGTCCCTGCCTCATGTTGCGGCTCCGTCGCCCGCGAATCGAACGCGCCATGCTGATTCGGGAACGGCGAAGAGGGAGGCGATGACAAGGGGGGGGATGGATATCATGGCGGGGGCCATGCTGTTTTCCTACATTTCATGGCGCCCCTCCTAATTAAATTACGTTCCTGGCCCCCCGGCTGGGCCGCGCACGTGCTGCGGGTCATGATTTGCACCCCCCCCTCTTGGACACCACCCTCTTGCTCGCCCCCGACTGATGCCGCAGGCCGACGTCGCGCTACCCTGCGTGGGCCACCGGGCTGCAGACGCGACGTTGTCAGCCCAGGGCGCTGCGGCCGCGTCGCCCGTTGGATCAATCGGCGCGCATGCGGTGAGATCATCGATATTCCTGCTGCTCTGACCATCGTGAGCAGCTGGTCGCTTGGATCGTCATCGTCGCCATCAGCACCAACATCATCATCATCATAATCATCATCATCATCATCATCATCATCATCATCATCATCATCATCATCATCATCACCATCATCATCATCACCATAATCACCACCATCACCATCACCGACGTCATCGCCGCCATCATCATCATCATCATCATCATCATCATCATCATCATCATCATCATCAGCATCAGCATCAGCATCAGCATCAGCATCATCAGCATCATCAGCATCACGTCCCCCCCCCCCGTCCCGTCGCCGAGGCGCTACGTGTATTCCCTAGTGGGTTCCCGGGCCGCGGCGGGCCAGTGGTCCCGGGCGCCGCTGGACTCGTTCATGGCGGGCGACCCCCAGTGGGAGACCGTGCCCTGCTGGCGTCCCCCCCGTGCGCGGCGAGACGTCGTTTCCTTCCCCCCCTCCCTTTCTCATCCCCTCGTTTTTCTGTCTCGCCTCCTCCTTTTCCTCCTCCTCCTCTTCCCTCCTCCTCCTCCTCCTCCTCCTCCTCCTCTTCCTTTTCCTCCTCCTCGCCCTTCTCCTCCTCTTCCTCCTCCCTCTCCTCGTCCTCCACAGTCGCACGCAATGAATGCTAGTCTCTTTTTCTCCCCCGAAACGCTGGTGAGGTGTGCTGGCCTCCTCCGCATATCGTTTTTGACACAGGATGCCGCCGAGTTGATAATTGATATGTGCTTTTTCCGATCCGAGCGTCTTTCAGTTCTTTCAGAATGGCGGTCCCGCTACAGCGTTGGCTCCATTTTCCCGGTGTCAGTTCTTCCAAATCATGGCCCCGCTGTAGCGCTGGCCTCATTTCATTGGTTCGGTTCTTCCAGATCGTGTTTCAGCTGCAGCGTTGGCTTCGTTTTCGCGCTTGCAATTCTTCCAAATCGTGCTCCCACTGCAGCAATGTTCCATTTCTTCGGTTTCGGTCCTTCGAAGGGAAGGCGTGCTCCCGCTGCAGCGCTGATCTCACTTTTCGCTTCGCGCTTTCCAAACCGTCCATTTGCATTTCCCGTCCTGCGTCATGTCTGGTTTCCCTCTGATCTTGTCGGCGAAATGAATCGCGTTCTCGACGCGAGGCCATGCTATGCCGTGCTCTCTCATGCCTCGCGTACTTTCTCGGGGACATTGCCCTGTTTGACATCGGATTCTGCGAATAGAGAGGATATCTACGCAGTGGTCAGGGATTGGAGGCAGGGGCAGCACGTCAGATATGACGCTTGCGTGCCGAGCTTGTCCTCCTCTTCCTTCTCTTTTCCGCCTCCCCCTCCTCCTCCCTCCTCCTCTTTTTTCCTGTCTCCACTCCTCCTTCTCCTCCGCCTCCTCCGCCTCCTCTTTCTCCTCACCCTTCTCCTCCTCCGCCTCCTGCTCCTCCGCCCCTCCTCCATCCCCGTCTTTTCCCCTGCTTCTCCTCTTCCTCTGTGTCGTCCCTTCTCCTCCTTCTCCTCCTCTTCCTCCTCCTCCTTCTCCTCCTGCGCGCGGCGGTTCGGCCCTCGGGGCAAACCCGCGTCTCGCGGCCCGACCTACCTAGCTTTCTCCTCCTCCTCCCCTTTCTCTCCTCCTCCTCCTCCTCCTCCTCCTCCTCCTTCTCCTTCTCCTTCTCCTCCTCCTCCTCCTCCTCCTCCTCCTCCTCCTCCGCCTCCTCCTTTCTCCCTCCTCCTCCCTCCGTTGCCGTTTAGGCTCCCGCCGGCTCCCAAAGTCCTGTGCCCGCCGCCCCGCCCATGCCCTGCTGAGAAAGAGGGGCGCTGCGGGCGACCCCGCGTGGTGGCGCGCCGTCCCAGCTTCATAGGCGTGGCGTCGCTCGTTTTGGTTTTTGTGTTTTTTTTTGTGTTTCTGTTGTTGTTGTTGTTTTTAGGTTGTTGTTGTTGTGGTTGTTGTGGTTGTTGTTGTTGCTGCTGCTGCTGCTCTTGCTGTTGTTGTTGTTGTTGCGATTGTTGTTGTTGTTGTTGTTGTTGTTGCGATTGTTGTTGTTGTTGTTGCTGTTGCTGCTGTTGTTGTTGTTGTTGTTGTTGTTGTTGTTGCGATTGTTGCTGTTGTTGTTGTTGTTGTTGTTGTTGCTGCTGCTGCTGCTGCTGCTGTTGTTGTTGTTGTTGGTGTTGTTGAACATTATTTATTCTAAAGAATAATTATTGTTGGGACCCCTGGTGCGCGGCCCCCTCGCCGCGCCTAGGCCGCAGCCACATTTTCATCATTTTCGTGAGGAAGTCTCAGGCAAAACGTGGGTGTCCGGATCCGGTTGTTTTGTTGTCCCCCGTTTTCCCTTGCAAAAAATAAGCTAAAGTGGACATTTCTTGTTCTAACATAACCAAACTTCAAGAATCCCTTGCAAAAAATAAGGTAAAGTGGACATTCGCGCGCGCAAGACGAAATCCTTCCAAAACCTTAGTTTTCGTAGCGATTTTAACATAAAAACATCAAAAAACCAATGGTTTTTCAAAAAAAAATGTCAAAATTCATCCCGCGCGCTCTTGCGGATTCGTAGGAAACCCAACACTTTTTAATCATTTCTGTCAAACGGGCTTTTGCGAGCAACTTTTTCGAACTTCTGCAACAACGGTTGCGCACCTGCCAGGGCCATCATCCCTGTCAAATAATACCATGCGGGACACATTCGTTTTTTCTTCGCGCGCGCACGCCGTCGTCGTCGGCCGCGGGGCCCTGAATAGTAGCCACGGTCGTCCGCATGCCACGAAGTGAAGTGTCCGAACGTCATAGGGCGGGAAGCTGGGTGTGGGTGGTGGCGAAGAGTCGTTTGGAAATTTGGTAGAGCTTGAACCGGCCCCCCCACAAAGTGGGGGTATTGCCCGCCTCCTATGAAAACCCTGGCACTGGTGAGAACGGTGTGTCCCCACGTGCTAGTAATTGTTGAACATTATTTATTCTAAAGAATAATTATTGTTGGGGCCCCTGGTGCGCGCCCCCCTGCGCCGCCTAGGCCGCAGCTACATTTTCATCATTTTCGTGAGGAAGCCTCAGGTAAAACGATGTCATCCAGATCCGGTTGTTTTGTTGACGCCCGCTTTCCCTTGCAAAAAACACTATAAAATGACATTTCTTGTTCTAATATAATCAAATTTCAAGAATCCCTTGCAAAAAATAAGGTAAAGTGGACATTCGCGCGCGCAAGACGAAATCCTTCCAAAACCTTAGTTTTCGTAGCGATTTTAACATAAAAACATCAAAAAACCAATAGTTTTTCAAAAAAAAATTGTCGAAAGTTCATCCCGCGCGCTCTTGCGGATTCGTAGGAAACCCAACACTTTTTAAACATTTCTGTCAAACGGGCTTTTGCGAGCAACTTTTTCGAACTTCTGCAACAACGGTTGCGCACCTGCCAGGGCCATCATCCCTGTCAAATAATACCATGCGGGACACATTCGTTTTTTCTTCGCGCGCGCACGCCGTCGTCGTCGGCCGCGGGGCCCTGAATAGTAGCCACGGTCGTCCGCATGCCACGAAGTGAAGTGTCCGAACGTCATAGGGCGGGAAGCTGGGTGTGGGTGGTGGCGAAGAGTCGTTTGGAAATTTGGTAGAGCTTGAACCGGCCCCCCCACAAAGTGGGGGTATTGCCCGCCTCCTATGAAAACCCTGGCACTGGTGAGAACGGAGTGTCCCCAGTCTTAAATGATTGTTGTTGTTGTTGTTGTTGTTGTTGTTGTTGTTGTTGTTGTTGTTGTTGTTGTTGTTGTTGTTGTTGTTGTTGTTTTGGTTCGTTTTTTTTTCCCGTCGAGAACCATCGAGCATCGGCGGAGAGCGAGGGGGGAGAGTGAGAAGGACAAGGCCTTGTCAGAAGGCCCGGAAGTCCCCCGGCCTTCTGGGAAGTCTCCTGAGCCTTCCCCCGAGGCGCAGGAGGCCTCTCAGGAGGCGCGAGGGTCTCTGAGGAGTTCCGCCGCCCTCTGGGACAGCCCTCTCCTCCCCACTCCCCCCCCTCACTCGCCGTCGAGAAGGAGGAGGAGGAGGAGGTGGAGGAGGCGGAGGAGGAGGACCAGGAGGAGGAGGAGGCGGAGGAGGAGGAGGAGGCGGAGGAGGAGCACCCTGGACCAGCCTGCGAGAGACGAAGCGCGCACGGCATCGAACAGGGCACGCGGAGCGGACGCCCGAGCGATGGCGAGTCCCGGGGCGCGCAGGGGGCCCTCTCCCCTCGGGCCCTCGGCGGCAAGGCGCGCGGGCGCGCGCTGGGCGCCAGCGCGGCCCGCGAGAGGCGCCGCGCGCCGGGGCCGCCTCGGCGACGGCGCTGCTGCCCTCGGCGGAGGGCGCGGAATCCGCGCGCGCGGGGCCCGCGCGCCCCCCGGGGCCGCGGAGCCGTGCGGCTCAACGTTTTTTTTTAATATATTTTTTTTTTGTTTCGTTTGTTGCTGGGTTTTTTGTCATATACATATATGGGAGATCCCGGGCCCCGGGCCCCGGGCAGCGACCTTCCTTGTATATGCGTGGTTCCCTCCCCTGGCCGTCCCCAGGGGCTCCCAGACGGCCCCCAAACGGACCAGGACAGCTTGGAGACGGGCCCAGGAGGCCCCCCAGATGGTCCAAGAAGGCCACGAGACGCCCAAAGATCGCTCCAAGACGCCCACGATGATCCCAAAACGGCTCAAGTGGCCTCCAACACGCGCCAAGAGGCCTCCAAGAGGCGTCCCAAGAGGGCTCCAAGAGGCAACATTCATTGATTTTCCAGCGGTTTTTGAAGGTTTTTTTGATTCTCGCCTTTTCGGCGACCAGACTCTCCAAGACCGCCCAAGAGGCCCCAAAGACCGCCCCAAGACGGCCTGAGACGCCCCCAAGACGGCCCCAAGACGGCCCAAGACAACCCCAAGACGATCCAAGAGGCCCCCATAACGGCCCAAGAGGACCCCAAGACGGCTCCAAAAGGGGCCCAGACGCGGGATCCGAACGGACTTTTCGGGCCCTCGGCCCCAAGAGGTCCCAGGAGGCCCCGAGAGGCCCCTAGGAGGCCCCCAGGACGCCCCAAGAGACCCCCAAGAAGCTGCCAAGAGGCGCCCGAGAGGCTTCAAGAAAACACCCAAACGGCCCCCAACAGGCACCGAAACGGGTCTCCCCAGGCCTGGGCCGGCCCACCCCGCAACCATCGGGAAAAGCCCGCTGATACCCCCCCCTGTTTCGCTCCCCAGATGCGGCCCAGAGAGGCCAAGAGGGTGCCAAAACGAGCCAAACGGGTTCCAAGAAACCCCCAAGACGGTGCAAGAAGGTCCCGAGCTGCCCAATGCGGCCCAGGAGGACTCCCAGAGCATTCCCAAGAGGGACCCAAGAGGCCCAAATCATTAAATTCTTATGAGAAGCATACATTTCTAGCATGCACGACTTTTCAGCTTTCGCGGCGTTCAACACGTTTCAAAACGCCCCCAAGACTTCCC